CCTCTCCAGCCTTATCTCCTCTCACCTTCATACTCAGTCTGTGCTCCAGCTAGACTGAACTGTTCTCAATTGTTCAAAAGTACCATTTTAAAAAATGCCTCAATAACTTTATACATATATTCTTTCCATCTAGAAAGTTGGTTTTTTTTGTTTGTTTTTTTTGGAGGGGGTGTGGCTAGCCAGTATGGGGATCTGACCTTTGACCATCTAGAAAGTTCTTACCTACCTTCCCCTTTTTTTTACTATCTGTACTCATGTTTTTGTTTTTCCCCCCTTTTTTTGTGTTTTTTCCTGACTGGTAACGGGATCGCAACCCTCGGTGTTGCACCCACACCGCGCTCAGCCAGTGAGCGACCGGTCTCTATATGGGATCCTAACCCTCAGCGGGAGCGCCGCTGCACTCCCAAGCACCACACTCAACTGAGTGCGCCACCGGGCCGGCCCTGTACTCATGTTTTAAGATAGCTCAATCAGCCTATCCTCTGAGAAGCTTCTGTGTGATCCACTCAGGCAGAGTTAGATATTTCTTCCTCTGTGCTCCCAGAGCTATTATGCTGCACCTTTATTACAGTATTTACCACATTGCATGGAAACTGCTTATATTTACATATATTGCATATATTTACTTATATGTCTAAATTGTGACCTTCAAGGGGGCAACTTATTCATCTTTACATCAAGTCTATAGCAAAGAACTATACACAAGACTTGACACAAAGCCACTATGCAGTATATGACATGGCATTCTGAGAACTAAGAGAGAATTTCTAGGAATAATGAGTAGTATTTCTTAATATTTTCCAGTTTAAGATAAGCAAAATGTTGGGACACTAAGATATGACAACAACAATGGTAACAATAGCAGCTAACATTTACATAATGCCTACTGTTAGGCACAGTTTTGTGTGCTTTCACAGCCTTGTGAGGTGAGAACTATTGTTGTCCACATTTTTTAGACAAAGAAACAGAAACACAGAGAAGTTATGTGACTTGCCTTAGGTTACACAGCCACCAAGATGTAAAGACCAGAAAGTAGAATTTAGTGTGAATTTGTATGTGTTCATTTCCTTTATCTGCAGCTGGTTTCTCAAACCTATGGAAGGAAAAAAAATAAAACTTATTGCTCTTATTTGGTAATCATGTTTCTCCCTTAGCAGTGAAATTTGAATAACTTTTTTTGTTGTTTTGTTTTAGAAGGTGAGTGTAGGTTTAGAAAAGTAAAAAATGACTTCAGAGAAGAAAGTTTTTGAGAAGTAGCATCTTACTCACTGTTCCTAGGAAATTAGAAAGGTGATGTTCCCTAGAAGCCTACAACTGAACACACTTGTGACCTTGAGGGCAGGTATGAAAGGCACTAAGAAAATCTTTTGTTGGAGAGGGAAGGAAAATCTTCACCCCAGAAAAGTGATCACAGAGAAGTTATGAACGTTGTACCATACAAAATACTTATGGGAAAGAGAGGTCATAAATTTGATGAACATGGAAAGTTCTTCACTAAGAACTCAAATCTTATTCAACAGCAAAGAATTCACACTGGGGAGAGAACCGATAAATGTAAAGTTTGTGGCAAAGGTTTCAGTAGGAGTGATACCGGAGGAAGGGTGTGGGGCGGTGGGTTCCGAGAGTGGGTCTTAACCCACTTCATCCTCTTACCACGTTCTTGACTCCACGACAGGAAAGAATTCAAGAGCAGAGTCACAGTAGAAAGTGAGAACAGGTTTAATAGAATGAATAAGAGATACAAGTTTTACAGTGAGAGTGCAGCATAGCTCTAGAGACTGAGCAGGGCCCACACCAAGTTTAATACAAAAGTAAGAAATACACACTTAAGTTTAGTGCACAGTGCAGGCTGGCTCAAGAGAGTGAGAAGCCACTTGCTGAGAGTAAGTTTGATACAAAAAGAAAGAAGTACACACTGTATAAGCAGAGCACAGGCTGGCTCTAGGAGAGTGAGCAAGAGCCCTGCCTTCTGCCAGGATTCAACTTTTCTTTTCTTTTTTTTGTCTTTTTTGAGCCGGCAAGGGGATCACAACCCTTGGCTTGGTGTCGTTAGCACCGCGCTCAGCCAGTGAGCACACTGGCCATCCTTATATTGGATCCGAACACGCAGCGGGAGCACCACTGTGCTCCCAAGCACTGCACTCTCCCGAGTGCGCCACAGGCCGGCCCAGGATTCAACTTTTATAGTTTCACTACCTAATGAATATTCAATTAAGAGGGTGGCTCCCAGTGCTGTAACATAGTCTTGCACATGCTCAGTTGGTCTCTTCTTGGAGCATAGCACATGCTCAGTTGGTCTCTTCTTGGAGCATAGCATGTTCATTAGTCAAATCCTATCACATGCACCAAATACATTCAATAATATTCTGTGCTCTTTAGCACCCCAGGTGGAAGGTCATTTACCTACCAGGGTTACATAACTCTTATCAACTCAGCATGCCCAGCCACTGAATTTGCATAAGCCAGCCCCTTTCAGTCTTATTTTCCCCTGGTTGGTGCCAAAAATAGGTCTAACTAGTAACAGTGACTTTCCTCTAGGGGAGGGCTGAGAGGAGGGGCTTGAAATCTTGGAGAATGGCTTGTAACCCAGAGGCGTGTCCTGTAACCAGAGCCCAGGGAAACTGAGCACCTCCTGTCTCAGGAGCAGCAACTTCTGTCTCCATCAGAGGATCCACAATGGGGAGAAAACTTATAAATGTGATGGGTGTAGGAGAGCCTACACTGTGAGCTCCAATCTGATCCTGCATTATAGAGTTCATACTGCACACAGACCCAATGGATGTGACCAATGCAGCAACTCCTTTAGCTGGAGATCAGATCTTAGTAAGAATCAAAGGCTTCATACTGGAGAGAACCCTCCTGAATGTAACGTGTACAATAAGGCCTTCAGTCAAAGTTCTGACCTCAAACACCAGAGAATACATACTGAAGAAAAACTGTACAAATGTCTTATGTGTGGGAAAGCTTTCGGTCAGAGCCTACTCCTTTTTAAGCATCATAGAGTAGACACTGAGAGAATCCCTACAATATAAAGAATGTGGAAAAATCTTTAGTCAGAGTGCAGGTCTGATGTCATATGCGAGACTGTACATAAGAGACTTTATAGAGGTAAAGAGTTTAGGAAAACCTTCACTGAGAGCCCACAACCTATTAAATATCTCAGAATTCATACTGGGGAAAGACTTCATCAATGTGCTGAAGGTTGGAAATGCTTTATTTGGAATGAAGGTCATATCTCACATCAGAAAAGCCACACCAAAGAGAGACCCTGTAAATGTAATGAATGTGCAAAAGCCTTCTGTATTAATTCAAATCTTTTTAGATATTTTTTAAAAACCCACATCAGATAGAGAAAAAGACATTACTCTGATGAATGTGCTTATAACTTTATATTTCTCTTGTGACTGACCTTTAGAGAGTAGGTCTTGAAGGGAAATATTGTGAATATAACAATTGTGAAATGTTTCAAGGGCAGCTTTTTGCCTCGCTTAACATTAACAAATTCATCAGGGATGTGACCAGGAATGGGTTGGCTAGAACTTGGTTTAGCAGAGAAAAAGATAAGTTTTCCATCATATACTGCTTCTGGAAGGGGCCAGTCCTGTTCACTGACTAGTTTTAAGTTTCTGACTCTTAGGTGGGAAATGAAGTTTTTTGTCTGAGCTTGTAGATATTTGAAAACTTTTTTTTTTTTTT